TTTTTTTTTTTTTTTTTGTAAACAAGTAGGAATTAAGAGGAAATAAACAGAGAAGTAATACCTATCGGAAAACAGTCCATTCAAGCTATAAAGTGAATAGCGGGAAACCTATCGGAAGACTCTAAAAGAACCTGTTATGCCTTTTTATTTACCCCCGCCCATCGCTGCTCTGTAAAGATCTGTCTCAATACCTCGATTCACTTTGCTTTTCATCATGTTAAACAAAAGCTCAAGCATTCTAACAACCAGAATTCAGCTCATTTCAACGAACACACCTCATCTACCACACACACACACACACTGTACATGAACTACATCTATCAATAACAATCCCATAATCCCACAAAAACATATAAAATACAGACAAACAACTCTCTTTATTTTGATTCTCTTTGTTTTTCATCAAATTCAACAAAATCCTAAATATTCCATTGACAACAATTAAACCCATTTCAACAAACAACCCACATCCATCAAAACACATACAGACACAAACACACAAAAAAAAAAAAAAAAAGATTAAAAAATGAAAAAGAAAATGCAAAAACAATACCAATCTCGGGTACCAACTTTTCCGAGGAGGGATTGCAGCGCGAGAGAGGCCGTCTCCTTATGATTAGGGGAAGGAAAATTGAATCGAATGACATCCAGAGGAAACCCATTTCCCAACATGGACAGCTGTTGTATTTTGAGGACTTTGCTGGCCCTTGCGCCGTTGAGAGGTGACGGATCCCCGGGAACGGTCCGGTCTACGCCGTGGAGAACCAAAAAGTCTAGCAGGAGGTCAAATTAGCCGAAAAAGATGGCAGCAATTGGGGAGGGTATGGTTGGGAGTCGAGGGACTTGAGAATGAAGCAGATGAAAGAGGAGAGCTCTGCAGGATAATGGTTTGAAATTGGAGAGAAGAACGAAAAATCTTCTTCAATTGCTTTCCAATTCACTCGGTGATATTGCGTGTGCGGTAAAAATTGAAAAGTCTAGCTTGCTTGTGCGGGAATAAGGGAAGTGACCGATCCATTTAATTAACAATAAATAAATTTTATGGCAAACCTATAATTAAGGGACAAAAGGAAGGTCATTTTCGTCCAAAAAAGGACACGTGTTGGCTTCTAAAGACACAAAAATAGACACGTGTCGTCGTTTAAAGGACACTAACTTATTCATATAGAGATAAGACTAGTACAACACCCGTGTATTACATGGGTGCTTGCTAATTTTGTTCTTAAAATCTAAAATTAATGAGAAAAAGTAGTTTGAAAATTTAAATACCTTTTATAAGAATATATATATTATTATATATTTATTATGACACTTTTTATTTGTGCGACTTGTGTTATATTATACTAATTTTTTTAACTTACAATATATAACTACATTAAATATAAATATATCAATTGAGAAATAATTTTATTTTTCTAATGAATTTTAATAAATATTATTACTTTTTATTATTAAAAAGATAAAATATAATTTATTTATTTCATATATACAATATGGATGTCAAATCGAAGATCATAAAAAGATGAATAATTTGATATATTATATATGGAAATCCGATAAGAAATACAAAAGTTATCAACTTTTAAAATACATTTATAATTCAATAGCTTATTGAAGGAAACAAATCAAAATTCAAGGATATATTAGTCACTTAGTGCCTCACTATGTAAAATTACAAAGAATTAAAGGGTTATATTAGTAAAAGAGATATTAAAATACCTAAGATAGCTATATAATATTTATGGAATACCCGAACCTAGATTATTAATTATTAATATATCAATATTATTTGTCCAAACCTAATTACGAAGCATGATTCTTCGCCAAATAGGATTCCGAAGCACCAGAAGCAGCCACGTAGGCTCAGCACATTCGGGAATTATATATAGGGAGGATAATATATATATATATATATATATATATATATATATATATATATGTAAGAGAGAGATAAAAAATAGAGATATAAAGGATAACTTTTTTTTTTCAAAACATTTGAAAAGGATTGACACCCTTTTTTTACAAGGAACAAAAATCCAAAAATATATGGTATTTCAAGTTATTATTCATGTCAATTTTGGTGAAAAAATAACAGGTTGCATGATAAGTTGACTACTGCACAAGAAAACATCATTTTATCATTTTGCATTTTTGAAAGATAAAATATGAAAGTAAAAAAATATGGGATACATCATACATCTTTTACCCT